TGCTATTTGACCACTATTAAACTAATATCATAATAATAAAATTTCGATAAGAGCTATTTTTGTTGAAAACCAGCTGGTAACATTTAGTTCATAATGAGTGTGGTATTTTTGCATTCCACCTTATTATCACATAATATGCTGTATTGAAAAAACGAAATATACTAGAAGATGCAGCGTGAAAAGCTCTACAATTTACAAAGAACAACTATACAAAGATAAGATAGAAAAAGACCGAATTCGTTTTTTTACCAAAAAACGGCCTCGTTTTCGTCCCGTCGAAACTTGGTAACTCAGAGTTTTGTCCATTTTTAGAACAAAAAGTACAATTATAAAATAAGCGGTACTTTATAAATTGTAGAGCTTTTCACGCTGCATCTTCTGGTATATTTCGTTTTTTCAATACAACATATTATGTGATAATAAAGTGGAATGCAAAATACCACACTTATTATGAACTAAATGTTACCAGCTGGTTTTCAACAAAAATAGCTCTTATCGAAATTTTATTATTATAATATTAGTTTAATAGTGGTCAAATAGCACAGAACGATAGAGCGAAAGATACTCTATCTATTCATAAAAAACAGAAAATTTTTTCAAGCTTTCTATAAGAAAAAAAGAACCTCCGCCACTACCTTTGGATAACCCTAAGTAGAATTGTTCGAACGCCGACTATTTCTTTCTATTTTATTAAGTTAGTTCTTTCTATCGTAATTTTTTTGTTTTGTATGGGATTCAAAGTCGTTGGATAGTTAATTTTTCACATCTATTCCTTTACGAACAAGACTTTCAATCGTCGCTAGTTTATCCGACACAACTGTGAGCTCATGCTCATGTCCTTTCTTCTGGCATGCAGTGCATAAATTGTAGTCGTCGCATATAGAACACTTATATCGTTTTCCCTTGAGTGGATTCATTTGACATCCATTGCAAGAAACTTCAGGCCATAAATATTCTTCTATGGATATAACCGGGTTTGGTCCACTTTTTAACCAGGATCGGATAGCTTCGGCTCCTTTGCTAACAATATCATCACACCCATATGGAGTTAAGAGAATTCCATCAACTAATAGAACAACCAGTTTTGGAATGCCTTCTATTTTGAACTTCTCATACAGTTTTGTCTTGCGATCTCGATCTAAAATGAAAGAATTTAATCAATGATTACGATCAAGTACAATTCTGATTTATTCAATCAAGTTTGTTCTGAGTGTATATCAATAGTAGTCGACTATAACTATGTTTTCTTAGGATTAGCAATGGAGATAATCGGCAGAGTCTTATTTTTGATAGATCTATTGCAAAGAAAGTTAAATCTTTTGCTTTCGATTCTAATAATGTATGTATTGTAAATCAATTATTATGATCAACATAGTTTTCAGAAGCGGTCGAATAGATAATGTTATGGATTTGGTAATTCAAGCCAACAGATTTTGAGAGTGGACGAATATTGCTGCAAATGAAAATAATATTTATTGTCCATATTCGAATAGTGATTCTGATTTCTGATGGAAAAAAAGTGGAGTAATCAAGTCTTCAAACGACATTTTATTGATTACCCGAAATACGAAGATTCAAAGTAAGAACATGAAAATTGAATTGCACACTAAGGGATTGCAATTGCATATTCTTCTGGCTGTGATCACTAAATAGTTACAAAGAATTCCTATCGATAGTGTTTTATCTTCCATGGAAAAGCTCAACTTTATTTTCATTATTTATCCTATTTTTTTTTATTCAGGAAATGTTGAAATTTTCCTGCGATTACTTTGACTATTTGATTGAGAGCTAAAAATTGAGTATAAATAGTTCTCCATAGCAATTAATTGAAATTAGAATTTCTCAGATTTTTGCTATTTACAAATTCATCCATGCATTGATAACTACTGAAATTATAATTTGGACAACTTCTAAAAAGAGTGATTCATATTTATACTTTGGAATTCTATACCAAAAGAGATAGTTGTGCTTGAAAATCTTGAAATCTACTATATATTAAACTATAAACTTAGTGTTAAGGGTACACAAGTACAAGAAATGAGAGTATAGATAGTTTGTATTTGTTAATAAGGCTTTTTCGTCAAGTTATGTTCAAAGAATCAAAATTAAAAATACTGACTGACTCAAGAGGAAACAGCAATTTTTCAGATTTCGATATTCGAACGTCTCTGCCAATATGTATATACAGATTTTTGAAAATTATCTTGTATTTTAAGAGACTCCACAATGTGCTGCATTATCTCAGAAAGAGATGAGTGTTATTTTGAATATGGATGCATGGGAATTCCACAGCTACATCTACACCCACCTTTTTTCTTCATAATTGCAATTTCAGATATTCAAACGATGACAACATTACTAATGTTTCAAGAAAAAAATCAGCATCGAAGTTCCTAATTATAGGCTGAGCTCAAAAACGTTATGAAAATGATATTAATCGCAAAAATGACATTTTTCATTTATGTAAAGATTAAACTACCTGAATAAGGAATGGCTTTCCATGGCATACTTTGAAAATATTCGTGAAAATGTTTTTCATCTTCATCTGATGACACAAATACAATTTCAAATTGATCCTTTAATTCAGATTCGACTTCCTTGTAACATGCAGCCAATTTCGATGTAAAATTTCGACAACGTTCACACCCGTGAGCCCTTAAAAACGAACATGTTTGGTTTCTGATTGTATTAGATATATACATACGAAAAATAAATCGCAACAACTTTGTTCTCGAGTTCAGTGATCGGTACATAACGATAAATGTTGCCGTTTCGTCGATCATTAGCTTCAATTAAATCTACTCCCAACAAGTCACTCCATTTCATCGTCATTTTGCATACACGTGAGTTAAAGAACAGAATAAGTCATGGTCGGAGATTGTTTATGATGTTTTATATAAGATGAAAAAGATCGGGTTGCCTACGCACACCTCTTCATGATGACTCATTCACTTTTTTCTTCTCTTCGACTACAGATGTAAAATGGTTACTAATGCTAAGCTGAAAGAATGACTAAAATTCTCTTGATCAAGCAATATATTGCTTGAAAGGAAGAATCAAAATGAAGTATCAAAATGAAGTAACTGAACAGATTATTTTGTCGATATGAGTTCTCAAGCAAAGAATAAAAATTGCGCTTTTTGCCTTCCTCAATGTAAAGAAATGTCGACTTCATTAGCGAAAAACAAAAAAAAATTCATACCAAAGGCAATTGGATATTCAGACATCGAGTACTTGTCAATAAACACCATTGAGTCGTAACTAAGCATTTTTGATTTACTTATATCGGTATGGTGTCGTAGAGGAACCATAGAAAAAACCATAAAGAAGCTGAATTCCTCGTGGGAAATTTCATTTCTATTTATAATGTTAGAATTTCGTCACGAAAGTGAGAGTGCGGGCGTGAATGTCGATGTGAATGAGGGAGAGTTCATCCACCTCACACCCACACTCACACTCACACCGTTCTGCAACTATCCTGTCCTGTCCTGTTCGGAGCCCTGGTCTACAGTATCAAACATTCGAAAATCGCTGTAGCCACAATTCATTTAGTAAGGAATTCACAGAGTATAAGCATGAAATCTTGTTTTTTTAAACCAAAAGAAGAAAATAAACCAATGGTATAGATGTGGAGGTCGCTGGCAGAAGCACTGAAGCATACACCCACGCTCACACTTTTTAATAATGAGGGTATGGGTGTGTTAGTGTGGGTGTAGTGTGTGAGGCGTGGTTGTGTCCACACCCCACACCCACGTCAAGTGTCTCTGTTCCTGAGTATCGCCCGAAGATAAGTTATACATCAATCGATGTAGAATTAAATTCTCTACAAGAAGATGTACAACTTATTTCCGGGCGATGGACTATATCGTCAAGATGTTAATTTTTTTTCAAAATTTTTTTCTTTTTTTCTGTGAGTATACTCATAATTGACGGTATATCACCTATATGGAAATGAAATCTTGATATGAGTTGTACATCAATCGATGGAGAATTGAATTCTCTACAAGATGATGTACAACTTGTCTCCAAGCGGTGGGTCATGTTGTGAAGATGTTGGTATTTTGTTCGTTTCTTTTTTGTGGCCGCATGAATAGTTGAACAAGCGTGATGTGCTTCGATATGAAGTATGAGTAGGTTTTGTACTGCAATGGATGCAGAAATGATTTGTATGGAATGCGTTCCACATCGTATCTCGGGAAAATAGACGGTATCGTCTATAGTGGTAACATGAAAGCGTATATTGGTGGAAGTTCGTGATGGTTTTTTTTAAGGTGATGATAATTTTTGTTTTTTATATAGTTTTGGTGATTTATTTTTAAAACTTGATTAGTTTTTATTTTGTGGTTTGAAAAAAGGTGATGTTGCTAAGGAAATTTTCTGTGGTATTTTATGGATTACTAATGGTAAATTGTTCTCGCACTCTGATTGACCGTCGTGGTAGCTTCACGTCGATGTTAAATTATATATCCTTTCATGGCTCTTACAATTTAAAGTTGTCATTCATACATCAGTGCTGATAAATGGGCATTTTTTTTAAAGAAATATTCTAGTGCAAACGATTCGAAAAAAAAATGGCAAAATAACGCATGCAATGTTTAAAATAAAATCTCGCAAGACTCATTTTTCAATGAAATTTCATGAAGTTTATTAAAGGCTAGAAAATGCAGTTATGATATGACAATGTTCTGAATACTAGCGACATCCAGATACTGACACATATCATTCTTTTGATTGGATTGTTGTACATCGTATAGAATATCTTCCCTTGTTGGTTATGTTATTCAATGGAATTTAATTTGGTACTTGATTCTTTGAGGAAGAATCGTATAGCTTGTGCACTGAATCCTGAAATTCTTATATCTTGCAACACAATGTGTATTCTATAGAAATATTTTTTGTGCAATTGTAAGTTTGTTTTTTTTTGTTCTGTTATAGATGCATTGTTCATTTTACATTCTCTTGGCGTCAACAATTAGTTTTATTTCATGTCGCCATTCCAGTTCAGGTCATCTTAAACCGTTTGGTACAGTTGGATCATTAATAAATATTGATGAAATAAATGGAGAATATCCAAATATATAAAAATTTTTTACAAGTTATATACCAAAATTAGAACCAATTATTTCTCGTCAAGTACTAAATAATGATATTCATTATAATATATGGCAAACAGATGAACAACTTGAAGATGAACTTGATGGTTTATCAAAAACGAATATTGTTATTGAGTCATTAAAACAACGACAATGAATTCAAATGAAATTTGGAGATTTTCTTGATAAATATGAAAAAGAACATTTATTTTTTGCTGATAATGTACCTGAAATTTTTCGTGAAGATAAAATTTGAATTTTATTCTATTAAAATTTTCCCTTAAAAAATATTTTACTTCGAGTTTCAATATTTTATTTCACGTGAAGGATGTGTCTTTTCTGAAAACTAGAATAAACTTTCTCGATGACATTCAAATATTCCTTTAAATAAATCCATAAGGTCACCATTGTTCATATTTAGTAGATAAATTACTGATGTTTGACGCAAATTCAGGGCGATGAGTACGGAATCCATATACCTTGTAAACAATCGTTTATCTCTGTAAGCCTCAACAAAGAGTAATACGATTATAGACAGAGTAAAACTGAGACCCTGTGCCCGTTTGATATGAAAACTTGATCGTTAGAATAAAATCTAAAGAATCAATTTCATATTAAAAGAATTGCAAAAGAGAATTTGTCAAAGGCTCTGACATACTGATCTTTTTGTTTTATATAATATGTTCCATTTGTCTCATTTTTGCATTACGTTTACAGACGACAGTTTTTGCGAAATTCCTATATGTGTTTCGAATAAAACTAGTGATTGTAAACTTTAAGTCGAGGTGTTCTTATAGTAAAAATAGTGGTTGAGGTCGTTAGGTACGAATTCGTACCTAACAAAGAAAGACAAAAGATATGAGACCTAGAACTCGTCAGGTTGGTTTCGAATTTAATAACCGATTCCATGGGTCATACTCGGCAAGTAACAGCCAATTATGACTTGATTTTTATAAAAATTGGTCTCAAGATTATCTGAGAAAAGTGTAGAGTTTGTTAGTACTAAATGTAATTTAAAAAAGGGTGGGTGAAAATTTTTTTAATAGCTTTTAATAGACATTTTTTTATTCAGGAGTCATAGATATTCTAGTCAGAACTGTTGACCGATTTCTCTAGCCATTGCTGTGAAAAAAAAATTACATTTTTGCTTTTTTCTTATGTTAACAGAAATCATTTCTCGGATACTTTTTTTATAAATTTGATTAAAAAAGCTTCAAAAAATATCTTAGGAGAATCTACAATAGATGATTCGATACGATTTCATCTCCTCTTTCCAATGGTGAAATCGGCAGCACTCTATCTTGTTTCTATCAAAAGTAATTCAAAAAAATCCGATCCATCTACATACTTTAATCCCGCAAGGATTGTGAAAACAGCTTTATCATGTTTAAGAGTTGATTTTAATCAATATCATTAATTAGAAAATGTTGATTATTATGTTACTAATTTAACTGCTAGTGATTGTTTATTCATTTCAAATGGATGGATTTTTCAAGGACGTTCGTTAGATAAGACAACATCGATTATATGTAATATTCATCATAAACAAACATTAAATATTGATGTAAATGAAGTCAAGAGTTATTCAACAAGAAATACATTTGATTCTTCATTTACACTTGATCAAATTGATTGGTCAACAATGGAAAGTGGACCACAAAATTTAAAGTAGATAAACAAATAAGTTATTTGTTTTATTTTTTTTTTAAATTTTTAACTAATAGAGAAATCATAATGGATTTGATTAATTGAAAATCAAATAGCTTTGAAAAATGGCAAGAAACATTTTCAAAAGTAATTTATGATCAATGAAAATAATTTTGAATTCATATTTTTTGTTTTGTTCTTTTTTAGTATTTTTCATTCGATTCGGCTTCAGATCCTGAAACATCAGCTATTTTTGATAAAGTATATTCATCACCAAAATAAAAAGAAAATAAATATATATTTTGTTTCTTTATTCTATGATATTATTGATATAGATGGTAATAGTGAAATGACATCAACTGAAGTTGAACAAATTAATGAAGTAGTAGCTAAAAATTTAAAATATATTCTTGTCTTTAAAGTCATTTTAAAAAAAACATTCTTTTTTAGCATCAACATCATATATCTGATGTTCTCTATGAAATGATAAAATTAGTTCATGAGATACAAAAAACCGATTCAGAAAAACCAGTTAATATGGAAGATGAAGATACACAAGAAACATTAGAAAATGAAGAATTGAAAGATAGCGAAAACGAAGATATGGATGAACATTTACATTTACAAAATTTTAAAACTGATTTATAATTTTAATCTTTGTTTTAATGATTCACTTTTAAAAATAATTTTGTTTTTCAAAATAATGAAGAGCATAGAATCTCAAATTATTTTCTGTTGTGTTAAATATCTTATGTATTCATCAATGATTTGTTTTCTTTTTTGAGCAATATAAAAACATATCTAGTCTTTCAACATCTGCTTCTTCTTCTTCTTCAGATAGATTGATTATGAGTGATCGATTTTTTAAAAATAATTATCCTGATTATGATGGTGAACAATATCTCGGCCCTGATAATCGAGTTCGTTATTATTATTATCCTTTTTCGATAGATAATTATTATTTATTTATTTAATTTTTGTTTAGTTAGTTCCTCAATTAGGGTCAACTATAACTCAATGGATTGGACATCATTTAGGTATACTTGAATCCAATCTCAATCAAACTAATCCAAGTGATGGATCAGTTTATACTGGTAGTGCAGGTAAAAATACCAAAAATTTCTTTATTCATTATTAATTTTTGTTTCAATATAAAACATTAGGTATCGCATTACTCTACATGCGTCTTGCTCAACTTTTACCAGATCAAAGCAGTAATTATATGTCCAAAGCAAAAACATTAATTGATTCAGCATTAAAATTACTTAATGGTAAAGAAAAACAAAAGAAAGAATTTGAAAATATTATTTCATTTTATATATAAATTAAATTAGGACAAGTAATATCATTTTTATGTGGTGATCCAGGACCATTAGCAATTGCAGCAGTAATTTATTGCAAGTCTGGTGATCAAAAAGCATCAGATCAATGTATTCAAAAGTAAGTAAATGTATACAAAATAATTAAATGATTTCTTCTCAGAATTTTATCTATGAAGAGAAATGCATTGAGTCATTCAAATCCAGATGAATATCTATATGGTCGAGCTGGTTATCTTTATACATTAATGTTTCTTCGAAGAGAAATTGGACATCATGTTATTGATGCTCAACATATTACTGATGTAAATAAAACAAAAAATTGAATTTTTGAAATTCATTTGTTTGTATTAAGATCTTTGAAGCTATCATTAAATCAGGTGAAAAATATGCACGACAAACAGGTTCAAGATCTCCATTAATGTATCAATGGCATGGTTCTGAATATATGGGAGCAGCACATGGTGTTTCCGGAATAGCTTATCTTCTTCTCAAAGTAGAATTTTTCATAGAAAAATCGTTTTTTTTTCAATATTCAAATATTTGATAGGTAGCACATCATGAATCATTTGCTCATCTTCGACCATATATTGATTCACATTTATTACCAACTGTTGAATTTCTTAAATCAAAATGTTTATCAAGTGGTAATTATATATCATCTAGTGACAGTGCATCAGATAAACTTGTACAATGGTGTCATGGTGCACCCAGTTTTGTTTATTTATTTAATCAAGCATATGAAGTAAGTTTAGAAAAAAAAGTCGAGTTTTATGACGTTCGATCGATGAGGATATCTTCATTTAAGATATTAATTATAAAATGAATCTTATCTAATCTTCGGAATAAAAAAAAAACAATCATTTTTGACGGATCTTTCTCTCTGTTGACTATATCAGCATCAGAAATATTGTGTATACAAAATCTGACACATATGTAAGTCGTCATCATCGGTACAACATAGTGAGCAACTTCAATAAGCGATGCTAATTTATCAAGATTCTATATGACATTGTTTGGGACATTAACTCAATTATCGTCATAGGTCGTATTGTTTTTTTGTGAAACACGATCTGAACATGTGTTCGAACACAGAAGTAGCAGTTTCTCCTCATAGACCGTGACAGACGATCAATAACATCTCGTTACAATATATGACCTACTTTCTTATTGCATTTCGGGAGGATTAAGTAAAAAGATGGTGAAGCAATGGGTCCCAGAATAGATAGAATAAAGCAATCTTCATGTGGTTAGCAAGATCGAAGTTTGAGTTTACTCATAGCAGATTTATGTCCTACAGATAATTCTTAAGATGCTCCTATTACAAGAATTACAGGGCTCGGTGTGGTTTCTAAATAAAACCAACACTTGTGAGTAAGCAGGACATTGAAATTTGCTTCCATTCATTCTCTATCAATATTTTTTGTCAACTTGAAGTTAAAATAAGCCTTACAAAAAGGAACTCTCCAGCGACACTAAATTTCGTTCTGTAACCAAAAATTTATTCCCTTATTGGATTTCAAAACGAAAACATATTTTTCATATCTTGAACTATGTAAGAGAAGTTTCAATATATTTGGCTAAAAAACCATATTTTAATTCTAATGAATGTAGAGAACTTTATTTCAAAGAAGTATTTTCGAAGATGAAAAGAATTGTTAGTTTTACATGGATAGAGTTTCTGAAAAACGAAAAACCTAAGTTTTTTAGCTCCAAGAATTTTGTTTTAATTACCCAGAATGATAAAGTAAACAATTATTTACAACGTGTTTTTTGGCCAAGATACATTCCTGCGGCAAAAACTGTTAGTAAAATCTTTGTAGAATTAAAACGTAAAACACGATATAATTGCTGCTGCTAGTCACAAGGAGGATGTTTTATTCTATCTATTGAGGGGCACATTTCTTCACCACCCTTTTGTTTAGTCCTCCCGAAAAGCAATAAGGAAGTGGTTCATATATTATGATGAGACGTTATTAACATCTGTCATGATCTCTGCGGAAGGGAGAGGGGATGGAGTGCAAATTTCTGCTCTTTATATTTTAACACTTCTTTGAGATCATGTTCCACAAAAATCCGTTGCTAATTTTTTTTTTAATTGAGTTTTCTAACAGCGTGGTGGAAGGAATCTTAATCCAATTATCAACAGAACTAATGTATTTTTAACATTGTTAAAGGCAGATATTTTATTTAAGACATGTTAAATAAAACTTTAAATACCAAGAAGGTTTTTTTTCGTATGCTAGATGACTGACGACGGCTCATATATGCAACGAGCTTCAGGGGCGGGTGATGTTGTTTGGGCACGTGGACTATTAACAAAAGGCTATGGTCTTTGTCATGGTGCAGCAGGTAATGGTTATGTATTTCTTGGTCTATATCGTGTAACACATGATCAAAAATGGCTTCATCGAGCAATAAAAGTCAGTTTATAAATTGATATTTTGTATTAATATACTTTTTTTTTGTCTATTGTTAGTTTGCTGAATTTTGTTCGGATTATGGAAAACATAATTTAGCAAGAACACCAGATCATCCATTTTCACTTTTCGAAGGTAAATATGAATACTTTGTTTTTGAAAGATAAAATTTACGATAACGAACTTTAATTTGTCGTTTTTTAGGTTTGGCTGGAACGATTTATTATATGGCTGATGTACTTACTCCAACATGTGCTCGATTCCCAGCGTTTGAATACTTACAGTAAAACCTGTGTTTATAAACACCTCCTTATTGTGAGCACTCTCAGGTCCACGGAGCGATTTCTGCTGGAAATGCACCTCTATGTTGTGAACACCTCTCTATTCTGAACATGAACACTTCTTTTCCAGTCCTTCTAACTACTATAACCTTTCTAATGTGAACACAAGCGCATGTTTTTTTCTCTGTCTCTACCTACTGTCTATCATTTATCTCTGATGCACTACGACCAATACCACTTTGTGTATTAGAATAGACTACTGTGCGTATAAAAAAATATCATCACGACACGATCTTACTTAGCAACACAAAATTGAATTAATTAATGATAATAAGAATGGCAATGGTTTACGTCAACGTAAATTAGCTGCAACATATAATATTTCACTTGGTTCGGTATCAAATATATTAAAACGTAAAGCAGAATATTTAAATGATTATGAAACAAATCAGAATCAAAATCAACTGATGTTTATATTAATTCAAAAACAAAAAGACAAATAACAGTAGACGATTTTTTTAAACAAAGCTAAACCTTGTCTTGTGTCTGAAAATTTTTCAACTAAAAAATATTTAAATGAAAATAAATGAATAAAAGAATGAATAACTTCTTCTTGAGGGCGTGGGTGTGTGGTGTGGGTCTGGGTGTGGGTGTGTGAGCGAATGTGGGGTGTGGGTTTGGGTAGTTCCAGAGAAATTCGACACTTACACTCACACCCACAACCTTGTTTTGATTGAGTAACATCAAAATGGTCTAGTCTAAGCACAATTCCTAGGTAGCTCTAGAAGAGTTATAAGATTCATCCTAGATAGTTGTACAAGCTATAGAGACCACCCTTTTATAATTCTTGAAAAATGCAAGAAACTAATTCTCAGGTAGTTCTGAGAAAGTTATAGACAACATTTCTAGATACTTCTTGAAAAGCTATAGAAATCATCTCTGAATTGTCTCAGAAAGTTACAGGAACTACCCTTAAATAGCCTGTAAAATCTTATAGGAGCCATATCCCTAGGTAGCCCTTGAAAATTTATTTATACGTATATTACTTTACTGTTTCCTTATTATTACTTTAATACTTTTCTATAGTAATTAGTACTAAAAATAAGTACTAACAATATTACTTTTTTTTTATTTGTTATTTTTATTACTTTATGACTTCCATTAGTTTTTAAATTTATCACTAATTATTGGTAATATCGTACCTCTAGCTATAAATTAGTTGATAGTTTTGAACTCAAGAAATCTTGATCCGTCTTATAAACCAATTAGCATTATAGCTCCTACTGATTACACAAGAAAGAATACAAAAACTTGAAAGAGTTCTAAAAACACCGACTTACATCTTCATCTTCCTTCAATGACCAATATGACTGTAAAAAAAACTCCTTAGTCTCTAAAGTTCTGAATTGTACTGAGCAAAAGATCTGTAACTATTAAAAATTGGATAAGAAATGTTCTTCAGAATATTTCATGATCTCAATCTTTTGCATAAGCATAGATGTGATTTGAAACACACATTAATACATGATATCTAAATTTTGATGTGTTCTACTCCATAGATTAGAAACAAGAATGTGGAGATACGAGTAAATGATCATATGACGGAGATATTTCATAATTAATCCGAG